TATTCCTTCCAATTTATTTGTTCCAGTCACTGAGCACTGGACCGTGGCTGTAAGGCTACAATTAGTCAACAGGACCAGCAGAGCCCATACCTTGCAAACCCCTCACTCACAGTTTGCCACTGTCCATGGCTAGGTGGTTGCTCTGTGCTAGGAAAGGGAAGAAACCACCACAGCTTGGAGTGTGCAGAGGGCAGTGGGCTCCCCTGAGGGTGTGAGCAATGTGTGTCAGTCAGTCCCATTGTTCCCTGCAGCCAAGGGGAAATGTGTCTGTGGAGCTCCCTTGGAATGGAGGAAAGTTTTAACTTTGGGCTTGAAAAAACCCATGGTTCCTCTCCTCAGTCTTTGGGAGAAAAGCTGAGCTTGAGCAAGGTTTGTGGCTGGGAATGCTGAACAACATGGGGCTCTGGAGCCAAGCAAGGTCTGTGACCCAAGTTCCAGGACACCCTGCAGAGCTATGGGCAGTGCTGTGTTCCTGAGGAGCTATGGAGTTCCTGAGGAGCATTCCTTGGCTGCCCTGGTGGCACTTGAAGGCAGGCAGCACTGCTGCATGGGGAGATGGGGGTATGTGAGGGTGCTGCTGGTTGAGAAAGGCTTCCCAGTTGGAGCTGACTTGAGAGTAACATTTCTGGGCTGAGAGATATGTCTGCTGGTTTAAAAAGTTATTGGTGCTCTGGCCTGGATGTACAACCTAATGTGAGGGGAGAGGCTGGACAGAAGGGCTTTGGGCTGCTGGAAAACAGCACTCTGACCCTGAGTGATGCTGAGCTGCATTCCTGGGCTCTGCTAGCAAGAGGGCAGCCAGCAAGACATCTCCCAGCACTGGGAGACTCCTTCTACTCAGTACTGGGAGACCACATCACAGGCACTGCTGAGCTGTCCAGTGCATGGAGAAATCACCACATTGGAGCAAGCCCATAAAGACCCAAGCTGATCCAAAAACTTGAAACTGTGGGATCCCTGCACGTCAGGCTTGGATCTTACACATGCCCAGACATACTGACCATGGCTGCTGTGTGGCCTTGCAGTGCTGTTGTTCCTTTCTTGCCCGTTCACTCTCCCATTTCCCTCCCACTGTTCACAAGGTTAATAAGGCAGGATGATGTTGGCCTGGCCTCTGGCCTCTGGTGAGCTCCAGGTCATGGCTGGCAGGGCTCAACTGACCTGATGCTTCCCTCCCACCCTCAGTGCTTGCTACTGATCACGTGCTACTGCATTCCCTATTTGCAAGATCCCCACCTTGGAATCCAACTCTCTTCATAAAGTGAAAGTTTTGTCTTTAATTCCCCGCCTGAGTCTCATGAAAAAATTCCCCTTTGAAAACAGTTTCCTGCTGCACCAGGAGCCTCAGGTCTGCTCCTGGCAGGAAACTGGGAGCAGTTGCAAGGAGTTCCCAAACAAATGAAGGACACCTATGCAGATCTGAAAGTGATTTTATTTGGCAGGATGAATACAGACTGCAGCAGGGTTGTGGTGCAGGTACAGCCTGCCCTGGGCTCAGTGCAGTGTAGGTCAGGTTAGCTAGTGATGGATATTTTTCTACTGAAAACATCTATACCCACAAAGCAGAAAGAGAGTAAGACCTTGCTGGACCAGGAGGGTTTTAAGCTTCTGAGCACAGTTTTGTCCCCAGAAGGAAAATGCTTGGACATGGAAGTGTTTATAAACACGTGTGCTAATAATGATCCTTCAAAACCCACCGCAGGTGAATGGCCAAAGACAGAGCAGGGAACTTTGCTACTTTTCAGGGTAAGAGGAAAACAAAGCAGCTCTTTGATATAGAGGAACAACCCTACTCACCCCCAGCCCCCGTCATCAAACAGGCCCCAGCAGGGCGCTGGCCTGGCCATGTGCCCAGGGGGGACAGAAGAGGGAAGGAGTTCTAGTGGTAGGGAGCTGGTTTGATGAGGATGGCAGAGGCTTTGCAGTTCCCCTTGCACAGCCTGCCCCACGTGATGCTCCCCTTGACGTTCAGCCGCACGGAGTAACACGCCGAGTACCACCACCCGCCCCCGTAGCGGGAGGCACAGTTCCCTCTGTAAGTGTCCTGGTCCCGATCCTTTGTGGAGAACTTCATGTTGTTGTGCACTTTCCTGGGATTATCTGAATCCATGGCATCCTCTGCCGTCCCCGAGTGCGCTCCCAGCCTCAGCCGGTAGCCCTGGGACTCATCGTCCAGGCTGAACAGGTTGTAGTCTGCAAACCTCTTGTTGTTTGAAGCATCCCAGATGACAAACCTGACCTGGTAGACCTTCTGCCTGGTGATCTGGTGGATGTTCTCAGTGCCCAGCCAGTACTCGGTGTGCACATTCCCAAAGCCGTGCTTGTAGGTGCTCCAGGACTCGTTCCAGGTGATATCCGTGTCCTGCCGGTTCCTCTGGATCACAGTCCAGCCCCCATCTCCACCCATCTCACAGTACACCATGATGGGGTGCAATCCTGAGGGCTGGATGATGTAGACACCGCTGGGGCTGCCATCAGGGACCTCACTGCAGTCCCTGGGCCAACCTGGAGCAGGACAGAAGGGGACTGAACAAAAGCCAGTACAACAGGAGAAGACCTTGTCTCACCCTGGGGTGGGAGAGAGGGACATCTCGCCATAGCACCTGGGGGATAATCAGCTCTCCCAGTCTAGAGAGGTCTGGAGGTGAGAGTGGGTTGGCCTCGACCCTCTGTTCCTTTTCAATATGGAACACCAACAGGAATAAGCCCCAGTGAAAGGTCTCAGACCCACTGGGCTATGCTGGTACGAGGCAAAGAGACTGAATATGGGCACTAAAGGGCTCCTCTAGGTCTCCTGAAAAAGGGGTTGTGCCACTACAACAGGGTCATGCTGGGAGGAAGGCGAAGAGGACCTTGCCCCTGCCTGTGACTGAGGGAACAGCAGAAAAATGACCCCTTCAAGCAGACACAGCCACCCCCCCAGCCTGCACAGTGCACACACACACACTGCAGCCTGCACTAGGTACATTTCCACCATCCTCCATCCCAGAGCAGGGCCAGGCTTAGGGATAGTTCAGGGCCTTTTCCCACCCAGAGCTGGCTGTACACAAGCACACCACACCAGATGCCCATGGGATGCTACCTACTGGTTTTCTTCAGAGCATTCACCGAAGCATTGGAGGGAGATTTCTTGAAGATGTTTAGGGTTTCTGTATGCACACAGTGGCCTGGAGCAGCCAAAAGCAGCAGGGAAGCAAGGAGCAGAAGGCACTGGGCTGCTAGAAAGGGACAAGACGGAGAAAAGATGAAACAGGACCCTCTCTGCAGAGAGACTGGACATCCCATGGCTCCAGCACCGCAGTTAACATGACCCTGTGAGGTGCAGGAGAGCACCAAGAATGCTGGGCAGCATCAGGCTGCTTCCTGCAAGCTGGAAGGCTTGCCCAAGGGGTAGACAACCTTGCCTTTCCCCTGTCAAGCACGGGGTAGTTTTGGGTGGAGCAAAGCACCCAACAGTCGACTAAGCCAAGTTTCACTCCTGGCCCCTGGAGCAGGGGACTGGCTGGGGTGAGCCAGAAGGCAGGGGACAAGCTGCTGGTGCTCCCAGGAGGGCACTGGTGCCACTGCTCCCCATCAGTGTGCATGGAGCCTCTCCCTATTGCTGGGCTGCCCTACCTGTGCTCCCCCCACTGCTGGCAAGGACCCCCCCTCTTCCCAGCCCTGTACTCACCCATGGCTCCAGGTGGGAATGCTCTTGGAGCACAGAGCTCTGGAGCAGCTGGTTGCACAGAGGCATTTGTAGTGCCTCCTGCAGTGGGCGGGCTGAGTGGGTCCTGCCCCCCTTTTCTCCTGGAGGAGGAGATCAGGTTGGTTTCCTTCATGCCCTCAGAAAATACCAGCTGAGGTGGAGGTGCCTGTGGTTCTGAGTGCACAGGTCCCTGAGCTGCAAAGAAAATAATCCCCATACCAGCAAGAATCCTTGGAATGGTCTCTTCTGTGAGTGCTTAGTGACTTGGATGGAATTTCCCCTGGTAACAAGCATATTTGGGAACTTTGAAGAGTGCAGCTCAGTGAACAAACACTCAAACGCCACAGTCACCAGCCAGGTGGAGAGCAAACACGGGGCTGTCCCTGCCTCCCACCACTGCAGCAGGTGCTGCCAGGTCAAGGGGCTCTTGTTTAATCTGCTCCTGTCAAGCCCAGTTCTGGGTGGGGCCCCAAGACTTCCAGGGAGTTGTGTGACAGTGTTTGGAGCAGCTGGTGTATTCTGGAGCACAGGACACAGGCAGAGGGGTTTCCATCTAAGGGAAGTAGAGGGAGTCTCGACTCACCCGTGGGCCACAGTCCTAACCTGCAAGAAGGCAGCTGAATGGCCTTGATGAAAGATTTCTGTAAGGCAGATGAGACAGCTGTGGCCTCTGGGCACTGGGTTTGGGGGACTGGTCATGCAGGATGATGGCTACAAAGGAAAGCAAGTGTCTGCCCAGGACTGGAATGAAACCGGGTGGATGGAAGGCAAGTAACAGGAATCTGAGCGTGAGGGGAACGGAGGGGACCTAAGTGTGCATGGAGGGAAAGTGGAGGGAAATGAGGGTACACAGAGGGGCTGGGAGGGACATCATCATGGAACCCATAGGAACTGAACACCTACAGAATGGACAGTGGGATTTGATCACCAATGGAGGGTAATGGATGGAATCTGAGGGTACTTGTCATGAAAAAGAGGGATGTGAGTGTGCCCAGAGGGGAGACGTCAGCACCAAGCAGACACTAGAAAGAACAGAGAAGATCTGAGTATTTGATGAAGGAAACAGAGGAGATCTGGGTGCACACAGAGGGAAATGGAGGACACCTGCAGGAGGACCCCACAAGGCAGGACAGGCTGGGCTGCAGCCTGGGGTCCACAGCTTGGGCTCCTCCACCATCACCATCACAAGCACTGATAGCTCTACAGCTCCAACTGCAGCTGGAATGTCCACCCACGAAAAGGAAAATGCTGCCTGGTACCCAGTTTTTCTGTCTGCAAGTCAAAGAACCCCAGATTTCTACCACCAGCATAATCCAGATTTTCAGAACTCTGTATTTCTGTTTCTAGACTTGTTCCCATTTGCACAACCAGCACGAAAAAAACAAATGCAGAAATGTTGGTCCTCGGGGATGAATCCATGTGTTAAGGTCCCAAGGGTGAATCCGGGGATCTGGAATCCTCCAGGGTACCCTGTTGTTCACGCCTGCGGGATGTCCAGCGGGCACATTGCCACAGGGCCCTGGGAGACAGAAGGAGGGATGAAGAAAGAGGGGAAGCAGGGAGGACACCCTATATTTCCATCAGGGGATGTGGGGATGGCAATGGGTACACATGGGGCATCTGGGGGGCTCAAGGGGCAACTGGGGGGCCCTTGGAGCAACTGATGGCTCTGAGGGTAAAGGAATGGGACCCTGAGGGTAAAGGAATGGGACCCTGAGGGCAACTGGGACAACTGACTGTAACTGGGGCACCCAAAGGGACAGTGGGGATTCTAGGGAAAACATGGAAAAGTTGCAGGGTTTCAGGGGCAACTAGGGAATCTGTGGGAAGCAAGGCAGCCTGGAGTGATCCCAGGTATAAGGGAGAGATCCTGGAATGGGCCAGAGGACAATGGGAGTCCCGGGGACATGGAGGACCCTGTGAGTTTAGGAGTCCTGGCAGTCTATAGCCCATCTTTGGACACCTGGGTCCCCTCCCACTTGGAGGGAATCCCAAGTGACTGAGAATCCAGTGGGGTTTGGGAGTCCCTTGCTGCTCTGCGAGGGACCCCAGAAGCCATGGGGACTTTGAGGGTACAGATTACCAGGTCAGCAATACTCACACCAGCAGCAGCACAAGTGCCATGGAGGCAACTCCCAGTGCCAGCCCCATTGTTGGTGTGGGGACCAGGGGGGTCTCATTGTGGAGCCAGTGCAGCACAGCACTGAACACAGCCTGGAGCCCTCTCTCTTCCTCCACGCTCCCCTCTGACACTGTAGGGACACCAGCACCTCAGGTCACGGGGCCCTGCTGCACCTGCCCCAGCCACAGACCTCACTGTCTGGGGGTCCCCGCTCCAATCCACATTCCCCACCGCCCCCAGAGGAGCCAGGGATCAGGGAACACCTGCTCCAGTTCACCTGTCCACCATGAACTGACACATCCTGGCACCCTGCCCACACCCCCAAGCACGCCCATCCCACGGACCCGGGTGTCTGGGGTTCAGCTCCCTCCCATAATTGCTCCCTGCCCCCAGGGCACTCAGGTGTCTGGGCTCACCGTTGAGGTAAAAGAACTTGCGGGCAAAGGGCTTGGAAACTTCCCCCAGGCGACAGGCAACAGTTCCTGGAGCGGGCTCCTCGATGGTCAGGCTGGAGGGGTTCTCTGGATTCCCCTTCAGCTCCTTGAACAGCGACATGTCCTGTGTGCGCAGCTGGGGCGTGGGGGGGATCCGTCAGCACAGCCCACGAGGTACATGAGACAGCACACGTGTGCATACAAAGGCACCCGTGTCCTGCACGTGCTTGACATGTCCCCTTCATGCTTCTTGTGCTGGTGCACGTGGACATACCTCCTGTCCCACAGACTCTCCTTGTGCCCCATGTGTGCACACAGGGATGCACAACCACAGTGGACACAAAAGTCATTTCCTGCACATGTGGGAAGGAGTTCTTCCCTGTGGGGGTGGTGAGGCCCTGGCACAGGTTGTCCAGAGAAGCTGTGGCTTCACCTATTCCTGAGTGTTCAAACCCAGTGTCACCAAAACCCAGGAAATGAACACTCTAATCAGAAAGCCGACATTATTCAGCGCTGAGGTACACGGGTATCGCTTCACATTCACATCAGTCATGAAAACTTTTAACTATTTATACATTATAGCAAACAAAAGAATTAGTGTTCATTGGCTTACATGTTATATAGTTCTCTTCACGAATTATTATTCTATTGGTTATGGATTTCTTGCTTTTCATGTTAATTAGTCCACATTTTCAGTCTTTTAATTATCTTTTTCCCAGACAGGGCATCTCTGGTTTATGTAACATGTCTTTGTGCTTTATAAATTCTGCAATCCTGGTGTTCAGTTCTCAACAGTAAATTTCTCTTCCAGGGTTTGTTAACTTCCCCCTCCAGGTCTGGGAACACGAAAGTATACCAAAATTTTTAATTTGTTTTTCTAACACATGGACATCGCCCAGAGCTTACCCGTCATCCATTATCTAAAATCACCTCAACATTCTCCCTCACTGATGCATAGGCTCCTTTTTAAAGAAACATAACTTGTTCAGTTAGACCAGGATGGATGGGGCTTGGAGCAACCTTGTCTAGAGGAAGGTGTCCCTACCCACTGCAGCGGGTGGAATGAGATGAGCTTTAAGGTCACTTCCAACCCAAACCATCCTGTAATTTTATGACTCTACATGTGCACACATGGACCTGCAAACACACGAGTGACCTGCCCCCTGTGTGTGCTTTCACAGCTGCTACTTCCAGCACATGGTGGCAGCAGTACCCGTGAGAGATCTCATGCCAAGCAAAGAGCTGTGTGTGTGTGCAGGCCTGGCTACCCGTGCCCAGCCCTCCCCAGAATGCAGAATGTCTACTCACACCCTTCCACGCTCACGTGCAACTCACATTTGGGACAAACATCCAGGTGACGGGCAGGTTGCCAGGGAAGGAGAAGGGCACATCACAGAGCAGCACGATGGTCTCATCCGTGTAGGTCTGCAGGTCCTGCACTGGGAGCATTGCCAGGCACGTGAGCTCACATCTGGGTGTGTCCTGACAGAGGTGATGGTGCTCCTGTGCTGGCTGCAGGGATGGGCAGCTGAACACCTTGGCAGGTGCACTCAGGGTGGGAGCACAGGTGAGAAATGCGGGGTGTCTCCAGAGCCCTGGGGGTACCCAGCTCCGGGGGGGAGGTGAGCCCAGCCTGGGTGCCTGGGTCTGTGTGGAAAAATTACTGGGGGAAAATTATTGAGACTAAAGTTACATCCACACCCTAAAGAAAGTTGTAGAATTCCAGAGTAGAATGTAGTTGGTACTTAAGGATCACTTTACACATGTTGGGTTCACAGCAGGTCTGGGAACTCAGTGGGGCTGATACAACACATGGCATTTGCCAAATAAGAGGTAATATCCCGTTCCATTCAGAATATCAGTTGCTGAGCCAGCAATTGCTTAATTTTGTGGTGAAATCCTGTCCTTCTGAGGTACTTTGCTTATTATCATCTCATTATAACACCAGACACACCTCCATCTCAACAGCTACCCACCCTCAATGTACAACTACTCCTCGCTGAGTGCATGCTCTGCATCTTTCTAGCCTGGACCTTTAAAAGCAAAGCGATACCATCTGCCCCCAGTCAGCACCAAAGGCATGACTGGAGTCACTCAAGCTCCACCAAAATATTAAAAATAGTATAAAAATAACCTAAGAAACGGGGTAAGCTGGGGAAGATTTCCTTACTCTTAATGCAACAACCTGGCATGGTCCCATACCTGGGCAGTCCAGGGGAAACTCGCAGTCCGCAAAGTGGCAGGTAGCACACTGGAAGACACGGGCATCTGGCTGGAGTCCTGGGAAAGAGAGACTTGGTGGTCCCAGGGGAGTGGGAGATGTACTAGGGGACAAGGAAGGGCAAGACAAGGGGAGAGGCACTCACCACAGGGTGGGATGCAGGCTGGAACTGGTGGAGAGGAAGCAGCGTTAGACTGGGGAACACCGGGGACTCACATCCTTACGATGAACTGTCAGGGCTCAGCCCTTGTCCAGCCCAGATGGAGTCCCTGGGAGTATCTCTTGGACTGGGGTTCCCAGGGTGGGGATCCCTACTGGCCTCATACCTTTCGTCATCCGGCTCAGCTTCACCCAGATTGTGTCGACAGCTTCCTGCAGGGACTTGTTAAGGGGCTCTGGGGTGACCAGGATGTCCAAATGAGACAATGTGTCCTCCCCAGCATCCCCATAAACCCTTCCCAGATACCACAGATCCCCCGTACAACTCACCTCAACCCCATATATCCATCCTGGAGTCCCATCTATTCCCAAATACCCCCTCAAGCCCCCCAAGAAACTGTATACTTTGAAGCCCATATAACCTCAGGATTCCCCGATTATCCCTTTACTGCCTCCAGACCTCCATATTTCACCTCCACCCCATGCCCCTTAAAGGCCTCCACATCCTATGCCCCATGTCCCATGTCCCCTGCTCACTCTTGTTCTTTTGCTCCTCTACATAATACAGAGCATCCAAGACAAAGTCTCGAAGTTCGTCATGCTGTCCCGCCCCTGGAACCAGTACAGGGACACTAGAATCAGTATACAGGATTAGGGGTGGAGTTTCAGTAAGGTCTGGAGGGTTTCTGGGGATTCCTGGAGTTCTGACCAGGGTTTAGGGTTACTGGGAAGGGTCAGGTATCCCTGAGGACTCCTAAGGTCCTAGGTAGGGCCAAGGGGTCCCCAGTGTGTCCCCGGTAAAGGTTGGGTGATTCTCAGGGTCTTGGGCAGGGCTGGGGTTCCCAAAGGTCCCTGGGGTCCAGATGAGGTCTGGGGAGGCCTTGGTGTGGTTCTGAGTCCCAAGGATGCTTGTCTGGGGTGGGTCCCTGGGGTCCACAACTTCCTGGGATCCTGGTCAGTGTCAGTGTGAGGGCCTTCGTTGAAGTGGGGAATCCCAGAGGACTGTAGGGTGCTGTTCAGGGCAGGGGTCCCCCTTGGGATAGAGGACCCATGGAAAAGAAGGGCCAGTCCGGATGGAGGTTTTTGGGCAGGATCCCTTTTGGGTACGGGGTCCCTGGGGTCCCATGACGTACCCACAGCGACAGAGGCAAGTGGTTTAGCAGCCTCAACAAGGGCCTCTTGGCATTTTTTATTTCTGGGGTTCTTGGCAGAGGCCCCAGTAATCTCACGGCAGAGCTGTTGCCGCATTTTGGGGGGCCCAAAGCAGAGCAGGCAGGAGTGCACCCCAGGGAGGCAGAGCACCAGGGCCACCCACAGCCACAAGCCAGCATTTCTAGGGCGCCAGGGGACCAGCACCAGCATCAGGGCCACCCACCACCACCCCATGACCCCCAGACCTAGCACCCAAATGCCAAGTTCCTTGGGCAACAGTGGGGTTCCAAAGCGGAGCCCGGGCACCTGGGTCACCAGGGAACCAGATAAGGCATGAGGTCATACTCGAGGCAGCCACATGGAGCTCACACCAGCCAAAGGTGTAAGCAGAACCCAGCAAGAAACGTGCAGGCAACCCCTGCACTGAGCCTGAGCTGGAAGCTCTGAGCTGCAGGGAGCACGGAGGAGGAAAAGGAGAAGTTTGCAAGGTGGAGAAGGCAGCTGTGAGAGACCATAGCTGAAGCAGTGACAGAGGAGGACATGGATTCTAAGCATTCAGTGTTCAGTTATGAAGATTGAGACTATTTTACAGACTAGGACTGAACAGAACTGTTAACAAAAGTTATAAATGTATTGTACCCTGGTTTATGTCAAATGTTTTCACAGTTTTCCCTTCATGTTTATTACCTATTTTCTGATTGGTTATAATCTGCTGCATTGCAGATGTTTCCCCTACTGGCTCCCACTCTTTCCTTATCCCCTCCTTTCCCTTCTGATTGGTCTATATTCCTGCCTGTCCCATGCTCCTCCCCGGTTTCTGGAACCTTCCCCTGCTACCCTATAAATAAGGGTGGCACACCTTAATGAAGTTGTGATAGCTTTGAGCTACCGCTCTGTTTGGACCCCCCCTGACTGTCACGTCATCTTTTCCCTTTCAACTGCAGCACTGAGCCATCCCAGGGCGATGGCAGCACCGCTGCCAAACACAGCTGGGACCATCAACCATCAGGGACACGGTGTTTGTACGTGTGCCCCGAGGGGACAACTCTGCCTCTCTCCTATACTGTATTCTTGAGTAGGGGAATACACCCTTGGTGCACCTTCAAGTTATTAGACCACTCAGCTCTCCAAAACAGGGAGGGAGAGAAAGAGGGAAATGTATGTGAACTAAACTACGAAATAAATAATATCATTTACTACAAAGCAAAAGACTCAGAGACAGGCTGTTGGTTTTACAGGGACAAGAGCTGATGCAGGAAACAACACACTTAGGTGTCTGCAGGTGAAAAATGAGTAAGAGACTGAAGATTCATGTGCTTATCCAGTATCGCTAAAAGGCAGAGGATGCTGTCAGAGCTGCCCTGGCACGTGCCAAAATGTTGAATAAATTCAAGCTGCTGTTTCCATCCAGCTTAAAAATTTTCACTTATATCCCTCTCCTGTTTCTGAACACTCAGATAGTGACCCACCAATGGCAGGTGTCTGACATAGCACATGATGACAAAAAGTGACAAGAGGATCCAGCAGCTCAGGCTGCTCCAGTTCAATGCTTGCCAACCATCTCCTGCAGAGTAGAAACTGAGTTGAAGCCAGGAAAAGCTGGAGACCTTGCCAGGTGATGTAGATGCTGCAGAAAACTTCCTGAGCTTCAGCTGGACTTGGGAAGGGAATTCCTAGAGCCCCTTCCATCCCTGGCTGCCTCAGCAGTGCTGCCCAGCAGCAGGATGGAAAATTATCCCCGGTGTGGGCTGATCTCTGAGCCATTGGCACCAGAGACTCCAAAGGAGGACTCAGGCCATTAAACTCCAGACAGAAACCCGCCATTGGCTGCCGAGGCACAGCAGGCAGCACGATCTGTACTGTCCCAAACTACCCTGGGCTGCAATTTTAACTATCAGAGGAAAAAAGTGGTTTGATGGACTCTTTTAAAAAAATTGCTGGGAAGGCAAAATGGATAGCTGGGACTTATTCTAAATATGGGGAAGGTGTGTCCTCTTTTGTGCCTACTAGAAAGGCACATTCTGTACAAGTAGAATTGCCTTCAGAAAACCAACGGTCACGAATGATACATTGAAACTTCCATCCTTTTGATTTGACCTGAATTTCTTGACCTGTCTTTTATACAGATGTTCTCACAATATTGTAGAAGAACTGAAAATTCCAGAACTCAGGTTTCTTGAGTGCTTTTACTTTCCCTGTAAGATTCTCACTCCAAACACCAGGAGAATGGGGTATTCTGCTTAGCAGGGAAAAAATACCCAAAAAACCCCACAACAAAAAGACTCTACAAACCCTCAAACTCCCAGTCTCTGAACTGGGAGGAGAGTCCTGGCTCAAGCTACATGACTGTCCATGAAAGACTGGATTTCCTGTGAGGGATGTTAGGGTGTGAACTGCCCTCACTGCCCGGGCATCGCTTGAGCCACTGGCAGCACTTCCTGGCCCTTGGGATGGGCTTCAGTGCTCTGGCACAGAGCCGGGCTGGGGCAGGCGGCACTGGGGCTCTCCCTGCTGACCCTGCCTGTGCCATGGGCTCCCCAGGGCAGGGCTGGGGGTCTTGGGGGACTTGCTGCCCTCATCTCCAGGCCCTTCCACCTCACAGGAGCAACAGCCAGACAAGACCCGCAAGCCCAAGCACGTCTCCTGGGCACCACAGCTCACCCAGATAAAGATCATCCCGGCCCGTGAGACGTCACCGTCCCCAAGCAGAGAGACAGGAGAGAACAACCGGTACTCAGACATCGAAGAAGAGAGAAGAATAGCATTTGAGGAGTTGGTTAACTTAACAAGGAAATAATAAAAATGCAGACATAGCCTGGTCCCACCAGCCTCTCTCTTCCTCAGGCTCCCTGATGCTCCTCAGCCTTTCTCCTCCCTCCTGTCTCTCTGCCACCAGGCTGAGCACATTGTGCCCTGGGGCCAGGACTTGAGGCCAGTGCTGGTCCCGTGGCACCTTGTGGGGCTCTCCCCCTACAGCTGGCACTGTCATCCAGCTCTGTAATAAAGTACTGCCTGCTTCCTAATGTTCTAGTGCTGTTAAGGAGCTTTATTCCTGAATTTCAATGACAGCTACACCTCCACCATCCTCCATCCTGGAGCAGGGCCATGACTAGGGCCGGTGCAGGGCCCTTCCCTGCCCAGAGCTGGCTGTACACGAGCACACAAAAATCCCACGCTGTTCCCTGCATGCTGCATGTCAGTCTAAACAGTGCAGCTTTTTCTTAATTTTCCTGAAATTCAACTGGAATAGGTTTTCATGTTTGGAACAGATT